TGTGGCTGTCGTTTTATGTCAAGTAGCAAATACGTAACTAGCAAACCAAAGTTGTTATAATTGAAACTAATTACACATGCTGGTTACATTTTCCAACGTTAATTTCCATAACTAGATGAGCTGTATACATTCTTTACGTTTGCTGCTTTTGATCTTGCTATTTATCATATTCCTTGGGCCAGGTTGCATCATTTTAAGATACTTATCCTTAGTCCTGATAGTGCTAATGTTCGTTTGGCATTGCGTTGGTTGAAACAAGAACACCACCACCCTCCTTCTTGAACCCTCACCGAAACCACTGGGTTTTGGTGACCTGGGGGAAAGGAGGATTTCTTTCTTCCAAACAATGGGAAGCAGCGAAAGGCCCAGTGTGTGATTGACTGCAGATTTTGAAATTGGTCCCCAAATCGAATAAATGCTAGACGTGTACACATGACACCAGTTTTGTGAAGCAGAGGTTTAGACTGTTTTGAAGAGGGGTTGAATTTCAGCAGCTTTCATTACAAAGTTATCTTTTGATCATGAACTTTGCTGTCCAGTGTCTGAAAAATTAAACCCGGAAAAGTCCATGAGTTAAGCCTAAAGAAATACGCACCACCAGTGGAGAGCAATGCTAATGTTTGACGAGCTGGAATAGCTGTTTGCTTAGTGGAGAATGTTCGGTATCTGACAGAAGGCGCAGCTCTCTTATTAGTAATCAAATAGGGTTGACCAGTTGTGGCTGTCACTCAGGCAATTGAGAACAGGTTCAACACTTTATAGAACTCAAACTACAAAAATCAATATAATTATATTTGTCTTTAGTGTGGTGGCTGTGGAAATCACACAGCTTTGGATTGTTGTCTTGTAACCGGATTTATTTTAGTTTTTGATTGGCTCAGAGTGTGTGCGCGGCTATTGGAACCTTGTCTGAACGTCAGATGCAGCACATGTTGGCTCTTCATGTAAAATTGTGACCGTCTTTCTTGAGTTGTCTTCAGTTTGTGATATTTATGAATTTGAAAGGATGTCTTATTTTTAAATCTTGAGGTGTATCGTGTCACAATAACGAAGAAGCAGTATTGGTTCGACTTACATGTTAGAGGCTTTGTTTTCTCTTCCGAATCACTTTGGATTTGTGTAACATCCAATTGTTTGTTGGCTGTCGATACTGAATAACTTTTGATACTCCCATTTTTTAAATCGCACGATGGGAAATATTTTCCCCAGATATGCAGAAATGCACTCTTTAATTTGTCTTTGAGTGAATGCTGTCGTATATTTGATTAATTAAAATGTGTGCCGCAGATCACTTAGACTTCTACCACCTAAGAGAAGTGTGTTAGCGTTTGATATTCTAGAAGCATGAGAGGAGGGGAAACGTAAAACATTTGGTTAAGGGGTTTACCATGTTTATTTGAATAAGGAGGATGGAAGCTCCATTTATGCCTGGCATAAATGCTTTGCAGGTCTTAATTATTGATGGAAAATCTGCTCTGCTTCTAAATTCAAAGCTCTGACAATTTTATAGGAATTTTAATCACCTTCCATGTTAGGGATTTTAAGGTAAGGATAGCTTTATGTAATGACAAATAGAATGTACATTTTCAGCATCACTTGGGATGACAAAATAGTATTAGCATTTTGCTGCCTGCTGTAAACCCCTGTGAAATGACTGCAGTTTCGGCACTATCTCCAGTTGAAGGCATATTTCTGGGGGAAAAGAGAAAGCATTTAGTGTTCATTAGGGCAAGTTGTGTTACCCGGAGAAAGACAGAGACCTCTAGGAGGAGAATGTCTTTGGAGTGAGGCAGTCTTTCACAATTGAGATGTGTTTCAATTTCCTGAGAACGATCGTTTGTGTGGGATGTGTGTTACCACCTAAAATTAGTTGCTTACGTGGAGTTTCTAGCCGGAGTTTCCTCTCGAGTATTGCAGAATAAAACATCCCATCAAATTGGCGAGTCAGTTTCCAGGTTCTCGTCAGCCGTGCCATTACTTGGTTAGTTGGCTTAAGAAAGAATTATATACAGTGTGCTTCGCTGGCTCCTTTTGGCCTTTGGATGCGTTTAGCAGGTTTTGACCAGATAAGGCATGTTTGTCCTGAGGATATAAACCAATAGTTCCAACCTGAATTGAGATCGATGGGTCGGTTTCTGCGTGCCCAGTCCGCGCCTCTTCCGGCAGGTCGTGACGCTGCTCTGTGTTATGAGAGCAGAGAAGGGAGCCGGGGTAATCACATTCTATAGACTCTGACGCTCCGAATCAATTAATTACCCAGTTTAGTTTAGTTATCTTCCAGCAGCATTGAATACTTAGGAGCAACACGGAAGATCCTTCAGAGCAAAAAAGGGGGAAAGTCAGGGTGCCTGCATTAGAGCACCCTTATAATTTATTGTGAAGGTTTCACTTACGTGAACTCTTTCTTTTCCCTCGTAAAACATTGCTGGAGAAACCATCTTTTATAGGTCCGTGAATATAATTATACTACAGCGTATTTAAAATAACAGCTCATGAGGAAAGGAGAAACAGCCTTGGGAAGTAGAAGGCGCGGTCAGTAAAGAGACGCTTCAGGAGAAAGTGTCTGTGGTAAATTGTTCTGACCTGCAGGGAGCCAGCAGAAGGCAGGAAAAGGCACGTGCATATACTCGTGCACACTCGCATAGATATACGTGTGTATGTATGCGTATGAGCCCTGGGGTCACAGTGGTTAAGCACCCGACTGCTAACCGAAAGGTCCGTGGTTTAAACCCGCCAGCCGCTCCATGGGAGGAAGATGTGGCAGACTGTTTCTGTCAAGATTTCAGCCTTGGAAACCCTGTGGGGCAGTTCTACTCTGTCCTGTGGGGTTGCTCTGAGTCAGAATCAACTTGATGGCAATGGGTTTGGCTTTTGATTTGGTACGTATGTGTATGTATGTGTGTACGTGTGCACGCACACACATGTACATATGTGTATGTGTGTGAACGCACACGCATGCAATGTGTGTATATGCGTGTGCACGCACACATGCATGTATCTGTGCATATGTATGTGTGCACACCTCACACATATGTCTATTTACACACGTGTACATAGCACACATATGTACACACACGTGTATGCGTGTACAGACGTGCACACGATAGACATACATGTGCGTGCACATGCATATACACGTAACTGCACATGTGTGTGTATGTGTGTATGTATATGTACGCACATTTTCATGGTTTTGTCCTTAAGGGTGGGAGTATCATTTTCGCTAGTGGAATAATGTTTTCTGGGAAAACACAAAAGCAGATGGTCTTCATTAGGAACACCCATTGTCCACATATCCCAACTATGAACAGATAAATCTCTCCTGTTTCACCCGTACATTCCAAGGGCTGTAAGTGATTACAGGATGTCGGTGAAGCTGCTAAACCAAAACCACACTTCGGCTCCACCCGTCCCTTGTGCCATCCCAGTCTGGCTCAGTGGGACCTCTGGATGTTCCCAGTGAGGTGCTTCCCCGACACCCCCTTGCTTGGCTCAGCCCGAGTGGACTCGAGGGTGCAGGTCCAACTGTTGCAAAGGGAGAGGATGGGTGGTGGAGGCGGCGTGAGTAGGGCGAGGGGACCGTCCGGGCAGACTGCAGCTGCCTGCGGTGGGCTGCGTGCAGCTTTGGGAGCGTGCTTGGCGGGGCGGTTCCAGATGGCACCATCTCGGGCGTCCTGCTCGCTGGCATCTCTGCAGCAGGCTGTACCCCTCCCCAGTAGATCTGGCGTTAGTCTATAGAGTTTGGGAGACTTACCATTCCAAGTGTGTCCTACTTTCCTGTCTGGAAGCCAGACATCTGTTTATTCCATTTTCTTTCATACAGAGTTTGGAATAGCTTTAGTTTGGGGGGGGGGCGGGGAGGGAAGTTTTGTCATATTTAACAGCTGTTACAAAATTTCAACCCTGTGGGCTCTCAAAATACTTTTCGGCTGACCTCAGATTTTCATACATAACTGACAGTGGGTTGTAGAAAAATATTATTTACTTAACCTCTCATTGTCTGCCATTTCGCATTGTGTTTGGTCAGACGAGCCAACTACCAACAATTTTAACTCTGAGCTCCCCCCAGACCCTCCAAAGCGTCACTTGGATTCATTTACACGTTTTAAGTTTACACCTTTAAAGTGATTGCAGAGCCCACGGAGCCCGGGACTGATTGGAGATTTTCTTCCTTTTTTTTTTTTTTTTAGTCAACAGTGTTTCTTTTCACTTCCTGTCACAAAGGTCAAAGAGAGCCGACCTTTGCTGGCAATCCTGCTCGCTGAATTATTCATGGGATTGACTTTTTGTCAGCACACACAGTTGTGCTTTGGGACATTTTATTCATTTACCTCATTTAAAGCGCCTTTCTGCACCTGTTCAAGTATTAATATCATGTAATTTGGGCCTAATGCCGATTTTGCTGAACACTCATTATATTTTTTATTAGCTATATTTCCAAACGATTATGTATGATTATTACCAAGCCTTACAAACAGCACCGGCTTATTCCCCAGTCCCTTACATCTTCTTGTCAGGTTGTTTTCTGAAGCAGGGAGGATAAACATTTGACCAGTCCCAATGTTTTTATTCCTACTCCATCTCCAACCAGAGAACTCAGAGCTTCCTCCCTCACGGCTTTGCGAGAGCGTGATTAAATCCAACTCCGCAGAAGCTGTACAAATGCCAGCATTTATAAGGTCAACGCTTTTGTTAAAAATGCTATGTAAATGAGGATCTGCAAAAAGGGACATTAAATAAAATTAAATTCATTGTCTTCTTTAATGCCATTTACATTTTGGCTAAGCCAGGGCCTGTCAAGGAGGATTTTAAAAATAATTTTAATTACACATCATTTAGGGATCCAAGGTTTTCTATTCAGTAGCATTTGGATAACCTGCAAAACGGAGACTGTTTATTAACTTCTTAAATGACAACTTGTCATTTCATCTGCGTAGTGCAGTGAAAACAGTATAGTTTGGTGTTAATTTTTCCTTCCCAGTTTCCTTAAAGATGTGAATATAATTATCATCCAGCAGGCGTCCTGCTCCCCGAGTCCTCCTCCTGGCCTCGGTTGTGCCTTTGGAGACACTGCTTAGTTCAAGCTGTGTTTTCATACACGGGGGCTGGAGCGGAGGGAAAGTAATGGCTCGCAGTGTGGCGATACTGAAGTGCACTTTCGATGAAGCCGCGCGACAAAGGGTCTGGTTCTGGCTGGCACAGAGCAATCTGGCTTTTCGGGTTCAGGTGTGAATGACGGTTTTATTCGCTGGCACGCCGGTGGGGAGAGGCAAAAAGTTCAGTTTGCTCGTTCATCCTTTACAATATTTTCGGAAAACTTCTGATAATCAACAGAGAAGGACGAGCTGTGTTGTTGAGGAACAATGAAATGCTTTCAGGTATTACATAGAGGGACATAAGACACAGGCTCCACGTCCTGTGTTTTTTCCCTCCCCCAAACCACTGAGATCATGCAGCTTACATCACACGCTCAATCTGTGTGTGTGTGTCCAGCACAGGACGCCATGGTTCCCGCGGTCGCCTGCCTTGCCTGCGGGGCTGGGGGAGGGCAGCATGGTGCACCCACCTCCAGGCCCCACGCCCAGCTCTGGTCTAGGCCGAGGGAACACAGTGGCTCCTACGGAGGCCTGCAGAGATTTATGACCTCCTGGCCTGGGTGAGGACTCGGGGACCAGGCCAGTTGAAGTCCGGGTTTTGAAAGGAGCCACACACCAGCAATGACTTCCGCAACAACGCTCTTAAACAACTCTGATGCTCGTTTGCTTGTGCAAGGGAGCCGGCCGTCCAGAGCTGCTGTGCACAGGCTCCTTCCCAGCAGCTCACTGTGCTGCAGCCCCGCTGCCTGGAGTATGAAAATGCAGAGGGGCGGAGGGGAGGGGCTGGGAGCAGGGCTGTCAGAAGCTATACTCCGGGAGGTATGTGGACACAATCCATGCCCCCTCTGCGGCAGCCTTATCAGGTGAAAAGCAAAGATATTGCCAGTGCCTGTAATTGTGTTAGGATGCCTTGGATGAATTGGATTACCTTATGGAAAACCTTCCAAACTCGGGGTTCTGTTACGCATGCTTACAGGAAGCAAATAATTACTCTCTGTGCACCAGGAGATAATTGGCGCTGGCCGGGGCCTTGCAGTGACGCCGCCCGCCGAGGAAAACAGGCGAAGCTGGCCTTGTCAGGGCGTTTAGGAGGCAAAGCAGGGGAGAGCAGGCCTGCGGTGGGTCACACTGATGTTGTAATTTTCGGTTACTTTTCAAA